GCTCGTCATTGGGATCTTGCGCGTTTTTGTTGTCCTGCGACATTTCAGCACGTTCTATAGGAACTGTCTGGACCATAATTACTGTAGGTATGCCCGAAGGTCTCGGTTATCCACTGGGTGCGTATAAAATTTCGTAGCTTCGAAGTTCTTTGTCAATCAAGCTGTTCCCAACTTCCTATAGCTACCAACAAGACACTGAAGGCAGGGTGAAAGACATCCTCTCTGAGTGGGATGCAAGTGCTCCGTGTCCTCGACGTCCGCAGAGCCCATGCTGGAACTTAAAACATAGGTTGCGACAAACAGCTTGATTGACAAAGAACTTCGAAGCTACGAAATTTTATACGCACCCAGTGGATAACCGAGACCTTCGGGCATACCTACAGTAATTATGGTCCAGACAGTTCCTATAGAACGTGCTGAAATGTCGCAGGACAACAAAAACGCGCAAGATCCCAATGACGAGCGAGACTCTGAACTCCTAGTTCGTGCTCCAACCTGCTAATTTGAGGCATTGCTAGAAAGTGAGCGAAGTCTTATGAGTGGGCAGGGCTATCCGTAGCAGCCCAAAAATATGAAAATACTGTATTAAGGGTTAACATTTGAATAAGAGGAGGTGGTAAAAGGTGCGGGGCTTAATGTGCAATGCGCAGACACACTAAAGGCAAAACCCGATCAGTTAGGTAGGTTAGTTGGGTAGTGGTGCTCAAAAAACGATGTCATTATGCCAACAAAGTTAGTGATGGAGAAAAAACCGAAGAAAGTCTTCGGAGATGCTCTAAGTGACCCCCCCCCTAGTAGGCGCAGTTGTGCGAGCAGAGAGCGCTCAAAGGTTGTGCTCGAGAAGAGTCACCGGGGGAGTGGTGTTGGGGCCGATGTAGTCGCCGCGAACTGGTCAGCTAATTTCCCAATGTCAAGCATGTCTCCGCCTTTTTGCTTCGGACGACGGCATCGTCGTCTTCCTCACTCGCCTCTTGCTCTTGTGAAAATAGTGCAGTCACTACCTATGCGGACCACTCTACCTGCTCACGAAGGAGGAGGGGAACTTTAACTGATTGCGAGCACTACCTTTACGCTGGTCGGGGAGGGCAGTGGGCATGGTTGTCTGTGTGTCGGTTGTCGAGCCTTTTCACTCAGTATATGTATGCCAAATGGCAAAAAAAGCAGAAAACTTCCCATCACTGGAGGTCTTCAATAAAATTCGAAAGTCATGACCTCACTGAAAAGTAGGCGTGGAAGTCGGGCTGAGCTTGCGGAGGCAGTGTTGTCTGAAGACCTTGAGTAGGCTGTCCGGTGTGGAAACTGTAGTGAATCGCTTTGCAAAGCTGTAGATTTTGTTAAGAGTGGTGACTTTGGTTTGAAGAATGGTGAGTTCGAAGTGGAAAGGTATATATAAGCGTACCAGCACGTATTATCTATCAAGGAGCGCACCAAATGTAATCAAATTCGCCGACAAAACACAATTCGCCGTCAAGAACGAACACGTAGCGGCCTGGTGATGCTTTCCATCATGCACCTTTCCTCTATGTTATTGAACTACTATTCTAGTATTCGTTTTGAACCGTTCGAAAGAAAGGATAACGAGTAGTTAGCAATGAGATATGAATCAAAGCTGTAGATTGTTGATTTTTTCCCAGCAAGCTCACGTTCAAATGAAAACGATGTTAACGTTCCAGACAACATTTTCTCACAATTTCGGTTTCCTGTACATTGCAATCGGACCACTATCCGAGGGGACATTAGCGCAAATTCTTTTGACATTGTACTGTGCGACCATTATGTCTTCCTTGGTATTAGTTATGAACAACTTTGTCTACAGATATATCCAGTTATGCAGGTAAGCAAGTGTGTTTATGACACTGTTGCAAATCATGTCATGGTGCACTAGGCAGAAAGCACATTGCTATATAAGCAAGGTAAAGTTTCTGTATTGTCTTTAAAATGCTGCGACTTTCGGGGTGCAAGAATCAGCACCTTTGGGCACGTCTCTTTGTCCTGCATTAGGCTCAAGCTGCAAAAGCTCACACATTGTACAGCGCGGTATCATTTTTCGATGCAACTACTTTAGAGCACGCCTTCTCTACATCTACCATTCGTTGAAGTGGGCTGTTGTTACTTACTCCGTCAGCGTAGCTATGATATGCAATTGGGTCATAATGCTTTACGTGAACTGTCCACCGAACCCATCTGGGACAGAATTCGCGAAGAAAGTTCGTAATTGACAACTATGGACTAGATCCAACAGGAAAAGCGTTTTTCGGGACTAGAATAGAGGTTTGTTGTGATTTTTTTCCTTACCGTACTTTATACATATATCAGTTCCCAGGTATAAGTATTACATATTCTCCGTCAATGCCTCCAATAATAACAATGTGTGGTTTAATATTACGATGATTTCAGGTTTTCACTATACCACAATATATACTCTGCATCGAGTGTTTCTCACTTGTAACGATACTTTGCACAGTTGGAACATTGTGTGCTTGGAGGATTGATAGCTGTATAAGAGAGAATGCAATGAGTACTCAAACAAAGAAAATGCACCGGCACATGCTCATCATGCTCATAGTGCAGGTTTGCTAACAAGCTCTTCTAAGCGAGCGAGTGAGTCCAAGGAGTAAGCTGGGTTAGGAGGTGCGCTATGTTCTGAAGGGGCTGCGATGGAACGCAACCAGTAAAGCGTGGCATGGGAACCTTCTACCAGCGAGCGCCCTCTTAAACCCTTGCCCATTGCAAAGTTTTCTTCGAATTTAAAAAAGATGTGCTGTTACAATTAAAAGTAGAAGGTGTTGCTATCTGAAAACTGAAAAATGGAGGCCGCCAAATCTTTCTTCGGATGAACCTCGGCACTGTAGTACTTAAATATTTGTTCTTTTTAAAACGTGACAGAGATATATGTAGACCAGAGAGAAGACATGTAAGGCCAACGTTTCGGCAGAACGCCCTTTTCAGAGCCTGAAAAGAAATGGAAATCGTAAGATGATTCATACGATTAAATGTTGCACGACTCCACATCCACATACTTAATAGACAGTTTGGGTACCGTACCCTAAAAGTCAGAGGTCGGCTAGGAGCGCGGGTCTGACGGAGAGTGCTTAATCGGTGTGATCGTATTTTTCATAACCTAAATAAAAACCAGCCTTGAGAACGCTTGAAGTGGAACGCCTCCCTTGTTTTGTTGTCATCACATCGACGGCTGCTCCAAAACCCTCTCCACAGAAGAGAATATGGACAAATGTTTTGACATCACAAATGAGCAGTCTGAGTTCATAAGGCTCACGCGCGAAAAGCAATGTAATGAATGCCTCACCTTTCCGTAATGCCCAAGTGAAGCTTCGAAGATGTAGCCGCTTCTTGAGGTGGTTTATAAAAGCAGGCGGTGAGAACGTTATTGTTTGCTGACAACCAGCGATCTCCCCAAGCAGCATGAGCTGTTATCAGTACAAGTCTGCAGAGATGAGGAAGAGAGAAAGGAGTTTGTGGAAATAACACAAAAAGTCGTTCAACTCAACGGCTACTCGTTAAACTCAAGGCTACTAACTTACTTCACTTTTCCGAAGAATCGGAACAACGGTGGCAATAGATCTGGTGGAAACATTTCGGAAGGGAAGACTCCCTTGACGAAGTAAGGAAGTTCCTGAGGAGGTTTAGTTTAGAAAAGGCGGGATGTGGAGGGTCCTACCGACAACTTGAGACGGCGTTCACCCGGAATAGTCCTTACGATTGTACAGACATGGAGTTGCAATATCTGCCCCATTGGCAGACACGGAGATTTTGCGATTGTGGGAGTCCTTCACAAATTTTTTTGAGACTGTGGAGACGAATGCGAAAGGACGGCAACATCTTTCCATTTGCGGGGCTCGACTGGGATTTGTTGCTCAGATCCAATTAGACTATGGTGCCACTTATATTGCTAACTCATACATCTAGTAATTTCCAAGGATCTGAAGCTCCAGAGATACTTTTGACCTCCATTTCGTTTAGCATTTGTTTCACCTAGTAACAAACAGCATAAAGAGCCTACGTAGAAAAAATGGGGAGAATGCCGGTTCGAGTGAAGGCACAATCAGGCCAACAAGAAACCTTGATAAATAATAAAATTGCTCTCGAGAATGATTCTCAGCCTAAGACACTTCTCTACGATTTCGAAATTCGTTTACTTGCAGCCATTCATTCATGCAATACTTCTGTCATTTTTCAGGCTGTTTGTCCGGGCATGTTCCTCAACGCACCACTTCTCTCTATATATCTGCTTTTTTTCGCTGGTATCGATAGCCCGAAAGCGATGAGCTACGCCATCAGCTTTTTGATGGCATCGTACTCAATTTTCTCTCCTGTTATCGTTCTCGTGTTTATGAGAGACTATCGAAATTACATCCTCGTCACATTGCGCTTCCGAAAACCTAGTGAGATCACGAAAGTGACTGCTAGCGACGGGAAATCGGTTTTCACTAGATGAGGGCTAGACAAATGGGAAGCCATAGCAGGTGATCGTTTCCTTTGTTTGCAAGTGTGTGAATTTCAGACTGCTCCAAACAAAGCTGATTCCCTTCACCCAACAGATGTTGGAAAAGTATAAATATCGATCTAGCGTCCGACAGCGTCCACCAGAGACCAGCAGCAGACTGGGGTTGGAGAGTATGGTATGATAGGAAGGTACCAGCAGTGTGCTACCCTCCTATCGCGCCATCCTCTCTACCAGCAGTCTGCTTCCCTGCTATCTCACCACACTCTTCCGGCTGTCTCTTCCCCAAAGTATGAGCGCAGCCTTATACTTCGTAGGCATCTACAAAATCTGGGGTCATAGGCTCTTCACAAAACTTCGTCAAGACTTCTGGGTCAGCCTAATATGTTAAACTCTCTCGGGGCCTTCTGTCCTTGTTGTCTGCTCTAAACTTCTGTCATCCACCCTCCCACCAGTTCTGGGATTGTTTCCATAATCACATCGGCAAACGATGTCCGTTCGAAATAATCTTTCCTGAAAAATACTTCTCTTGATAATTTCTTGAACTGGCATCAACCCACTGTATGTGCACAGCCTGTTGTCTTCGAAAACCCTCATAGAACACATCTGCTAGTCATAGTGAATAGAAAATAGCCCATTCAGCGTCAGTTGATCGCCTGTGTATGCGCCATGTATTCGACTTCCACGCAGAAGTGATGGAAAGGAGTAACATCAACGGGATGCTCCTCCATGCGGGCAAATGTATTTCGTGGGTTCAGAAAGGTCTAAAGCTACACTTTTCATCCAGACTGTCTTTACCAAATTCAATGCTGTGCTATATCCCACAGCTGAGTGTTCTGTGGACCGGTTAGCATTAGCAATTAGCATTAGCTACTTTACTCACACATGTCATATTGATGAATCATTGAACGCTCTTTCCAATTTCACTATTCTCAGTTGTAATTTGCCGATTGCCAATTTTTTTGAAAGAATTTTTGGAAGATAACATTCATCTGATTCATATCAGTGTCGGTTCAGCCCTGCTTCTGGTGGCAATTCTAGCAGTAGCAGAAACTAGTGCCCTTCTATCGCGCCATGCTCTCCATCCCGGACACTGGTGGACGCTGGTGCACGCTGGCTAAATTGATATCTATACTTTCTAGTCATTGACGCTGCCGGACGCTCGAAACGCTGGTGTACGCTCTTGGTAGCTGGTGGACGCTTTCGCAAAATATGAACGCAGCCTTTAGCTCAGCTGTTGATGTTCTCATTATCAGTAAGACCTTGCCAAACTAATAGTGAGCTTTCAAGCCCGAAAAATATGGCTTAACTCTCTCCTGACCGGATTTGGAGAAAACGAGCGATTAGAAAAATCCTAGACGCGCCCGCGCGTGCTGTGGTTCTCTGAACTGGGGACGATTCGAAATTGGCTGGCTGTTATACAACGCCGCTGAGAACATAATATAGTAAGAGAGCCAGGGTCATATGTAGCGATTTGGGAGACTAGAGCCGTGCTCATCGGAGATAGATTCTTATTGCCCGCGTTTCTTTGCCTTCGGCAGGATGAAAAGCTGGTGGCCACAGTTTATAACGTCGTAATCAGATGAGGCGGTTTCAAGAGGCATTGAGCCAACCCACCTGCGGCTCTTCACCTCTTCTTTTGTCCTTCTCAATTGATCAGTGACGTACGACTCGTGCTTGAAAATGCGAGCAGTTAGTGACCTCATTCCAATTTATGATTGACACTCACCTGAACTGGACTGCGACGATTATGGCTATGTGCCACCGTTCAATCGCATGTCGCAGGACGTGTGTAGCAGCAGATAGGAAGAGTGGACCGCGTATCCATTCTTCCCCGCGCTCCACGTAGCCTCGAAATTGATCGTCCATACAATAAAATTACATGCAATACTTCTGATGTGGAAAAGTTGAATATCGGAGAAATCCGCTTATAGGTATCAACATACAGCCAACTAGGTTTCTTCACAGACAAAGTGCTTGCACTTACCAGCTGTTCTCCTTGATGAGTGGCCGCAGTAGCGAGCCATTTTCTCCGCTCGAAAATGCACAGAGAGGCTGCAGGGTAGTGGTCGCGAATGCCGTATGGAACTCCACCCGCATTCTCCTCAAAAGACAGCCCTTGCACCGATACCATGGTCCTGCAGTGAAACACGTTTTCCTCGGTAGGAAACCACCAACAGTGAGAGGGCGCAGACAAGTAGCGCGTTTGACTAATCCTTAGGCTCGTGACTAACGGCTGTGCCGTAGGCAGGGCACGCCATCGCGTTATGATCATTTTCTGGAAATTACGACGCTCTCCTAATTCCATACTAAAGTAAGACCCCCTTTTTGGGAGTTGGTAGACCTCCCCCCTCCAGCCGTCTAGTTCCTTCCCTGCATCGAACCGAGCCGTCCGAGGGGGGTCATTAGATAGTGGAGTCGTGAATGGACCAAATTACGCCCCCCCTCCCAAAAATGACCAAGTACGACCCCCCCCTTTACAGCGTCCGTGAAACAAGAGAAATCAACTATCAAAAAAATTTTTCTCTGACCAAATACGACCCCCCTCCCTCGCGGTCAAATACGACCCCCCTTGTGATGATCACAACGATGGCGTACCCTGGCCGTAGGGAGAGCGGAGCTGGGTACGACACTCGGATATCATTAACCCCAAGTCTCCCTCTTGCTTTTGACCGGAGAATGCGGCACGCAACTGCAGCTGAATGCACATCCATCCTACGCTCGGCAGGAACCAGGCAGGAGTGTAGATTTTGTACTTAAGGGACAACCTTCTAACGAGAAAAAAAGCGGAGAGGGAACAATGACGAGATGGACTATCTCGGGGCAGTTCGGCGACGGCGGGGGGAGGAGCATTTCGAACTTTCGCTACTTCCATCGACGTGTCGACCCATCTAGTGAGCCATTTGGTGAGTTGACAGGTTTGACCATGGTGGCTCGACGAGCTCGCTCCATCTCCACAAGGGTTCACAGGTTTTCAGAAAGAGACTTGTGATCGGGTCTAGTGAAGCAACGAAAGTGCAAAATGCCCCGCGTCGCCGAAGTGCCTAACCCTAATGGAAATTGAGTCGACAATCGTTGCTCTCATGTGGAACCTTCTCTCAAATGGACATGTGTTAATATTTGGATCTAACACAGATGTCGTCAGCGACATGTGCAGCTAATTCCCTTGAATTCTCATTAAATGTTCAAGAAAAAGTGCAGTGACTGAACCATAGCTCCTCAATAATAAATGAGAATTATAATCCGCTACTCATCTATTTAATATACGCCGAACCTTGTGTAGTCGGAATGGTTGGCTGCTTGAATACGCCTCTTGCGACGATTGTTTCATGCCACGACGATTCAGAGCATTTTCAGTTCTTCTGAGAGGTAGCGATCTCGTTGAACAAAGCTCATTAATACTTCTTATTGGTATCGTCAAAGCGGGCCTCTCACTACAATTCACAGAATTGCCGTGTATAGTTTTTACATTGAAGAAATACAATCTTAAGTCATAGTAGTTGAGTCAGGTGTACAAAGAAGGGGTGTAGAAAAGAAACACTTCACCCATGGCGTTCGCAGCTCTGGGCGTCGCGCGTCGTCACAGGGTAACTGGAGGACCTTAGGTAGGTTATTCCCCAGATGACGTTCCATGAGCAGATCAACGTCCGGAGAACCT